CACTGACTCAGCTTTCCTCCTGCAGTCGGCATCATTGCCTCTGTTTTGTGAGGTGGAGGACTTTGTGGACTGGTGTTGGGTTAATGGGTTAATGGCTCTTGCCTTAAGAGGCCTTGGGAATGCCCTTGTCTGCCCCTTTTCAATGTTCAGTTCTAGAAACTCAGGCAGAGGGAAAGAAAGTGTTTGAGCAAGGCCATACATCTTCGAGGAGAAAAACTCAACTTGGTCTGTTTTCTCCCAGGTTAGTGATGGCCCCCGCCCAACTTTACCACCGTGGTTCTCATAGCTGACCCCTTTCGGATGCCTTCAGTACAGGGATGGCAGCAATGGCGGACACACTCCCCTACTTAAGAGTCCTGCAACTGGAGCAGACATCACTAACTAATTACTGACCCATTTCCAACTGAGATTGGCTGTAGCCTCAGCTACCTTTCTCAATAGAATATCAACCCATTAGAGCTGGATGTGAGACAAAACCTATCGAGTCCTCCAACTTTATAGAAGACAGCCCTGTCTACCAAACAAACTTCCTCATCATCCCTCGAGTTCAGCATTCTATGACAATACCAGACCAAATCCCAACTCTCCTTTTTTTACGTAAACCTCCGTTCAAGCACGTTTGCTCCATGCAGTCCAGCCTCCAAGCCTCTGCTGCTGCCCGTCCGGCCCTTCAGCAAACGAAACACCACAGAGGACACGCTGCACCGCGAGGTGAAGGGTGACGGTACAATCGACGTCTGGGGGGCGCGGGGGACTTCTTATGAGGAAATGCTGCCAGTGGCTGCAAGGTTATTCTTTCTCTCCTGACGCTTGCATGAAAGGTAGAGGCGGGGGTCACAACTGACCGAGGAAGCACTCGGAGTGCCCAGTGACCGAGGAGTGCCCAGAAGCACTCACTGCCCCATCCCTACCACGGCTGGCAAAGACATGACTAATTCCATATTATAACTCAAGTGCCTTAATATGTTTTGATGAGTAACAGCCAAAATTCTTTAGTCTGAAGGCATCGCCACGAAATGTGTTTTGGGGGGCCTTGGGGAACAGGTTGGCAAGCCCATGGGAGGGAGCCTTGGGTGTGAACATAAGCTGCTACAGGCACTGCAGCGGAAAAGAGGCCGAGGGTCACTGCCAAAAGTATCCACGTCGGTGAAAAGTAAAATTGCGTCTCAATGCCATTTTTGGAAACCTGTTAGGTTGGCATGGGACAAAATGTCCTGGCACAGGTTGCGGTGAAATGCCGAGGA